TGATATACGGACCATGAGAATGTGTCAAGGTATATTGAAGGCCATGGAGAGTCGTCCAGATGACAAATATGTTGCTTACAGAAAGGTATAGGCTGATAATTTTTTAACAAACTAACATCAATTCTATTGATTTCTTGTTGCTTGTTTTTCTGATGCTGATTTGTTTACTTTTGCTTGATCTATTTCACAAGGGTCTTGGTGTTGTTTGCAATAAAGAAGGTGGATTTGGAGTAGACGATTTTGTTGTGGAATTTCTGGGAGAGGTATGGATGTGAAATTTTTTCATAGAAACCAATTATGAATATTGAACCTGAAACTTCTTCCTTCACTTTGTTATTTACACGTTTCTAGGCTTCTGGCTCTAGCATGGAGCTTTTATTTTAAAGTTTAAATTAAGATTTTTTTTCTTTACTTGGGAGTTACTTATTTGCAGGTTTATCCTGTGTGGAAATGGTTTGAGAAACAAGATGGAATTCGATGGTTACAGAGAAAGAGTAAAGATCCTGCTCCAGAATTTTACAACATATACCTTGAGAGGCCAAAGGTGTCACTTTGATGCTTTTGAAAAAAGTTGCTTTAGGCTTGTTAAGACTCTCTGTTGGACCATTTATCTTAACATGTATTTTATATGTGATGGCAGGGTGATGCGGATGGATACGATTTAGTTGTTGTTGATGCTATGCATAAAGCAAACTATGCAAGTCGAATATGTCACTCCTGTCGTCCTAATTGTGAAGCGAAGTGAGTTATTTTCGATGTTATTTTTGTTTCTTATTTTTTTGGGTGCATCTGGGATGCATTGGCGACTCTTGAAGTATTACATGTAAAATTATTCTATTTCAATTACTTTTTTTTTCATTACACTAGGAAAAATCAATACCATCATCAAATTATTATTAATGCCCAATTTCAATCAGAAGATTTCAAAGTTACCTTCAAATATTGAAAATTATCACATAATCTAAGGCAAGGAATGAATTTGGAGTGATGTGTGTGGGATTGCATATTAAATATAATAGTAGTTGACTTCAGAGCGGAGAGGTTTTCCTGCTGCCATATGGTGGCCTTTAGGGAGCTTCAGCTATAACTAAAATATTATACGCACTGCACGCGCGTGGCAGCATCTCGGTGAGTGTGGCCACAAGAGCTCTCTTCCACCCTGCTATGTGCCAGACTCTTTTTGTTGCTCCTTAGCAATCTTATTATAACTAACGGATTTTTCCTTCAATTCAGTATTTGTTGACACTTTGTTAAATGTAGGGTTACTGCTGTAGATGGTCAATACCAGATTGGGATTTATTCTACCCGTGAAATTCAATTTGGTGAGGAGATCACTTTTGATTATAATTCTGTTACAGAGGTATGTCTCTTAGTCTTTTCAGCCTTTTTGCACAATTAGAAAATCTTCATATTGCTTTACCTAAATAAGATATGGCTCTTTCATCTCCCAGAGTAAGGAAGAATATGAAGCATCTGTCTGTCTGTGTGGTAACCAAGTTTGTCGGGGCAGCTACCTGAACCTTACAGGCGAGGGAGCATTTCAAAAGGTACAGATTCCAGGGCAACATTTTCTCTTCTTTTTTATTGAAATTAAAAAACAGTAAGAGGGGGATAAGACTATCTCTTTAGGGGTCGTTTACCAGCCCCTAAGTGTCATTGGCTATGGGATGGTCTGTATGAGCAACACACTTTTTTTCTGTCAGCAATTAAATAAGCCTAATTTTTCTTTTTACATGCGGTGTAGTGTTAGAAAGTTACACATTTCTTTCTACCTTGAGTTCTAACGTATGCTGTGACGTACTTTATTCGTCAGGTACTCAAGGAATGGCATGGCATTCTAGATCGTCATCATCTAATGTTGGACGCCTGTGAATTAAATTCAGTATCTGAAGAAGATTATCTTGAGTTGGGAAGGGCTGGGTTGGGCAGTTGTTTATTAGGAGGGTTACCAAATTGGTTGGTTGCCTATTCGGCTCGTCTGGTGTGTCCTTGATCTCTCTCATATCTTTGTTTGCCTTTGGCCAATGGGTCTATTTCTGTAACCTATAGACATTAACCTATTCTTTTTTTCTAAAGGTGAGGTTTATAAATTTTGAAAGAACGAAGCTTCCTGAGGAAATCCTGAGGCATAATTTGGAAGAGAAAAGGAGATACTTTTCGGATATATGTCTAGAGGTTGAGAAGAGTGATGCTGAGGTTCAGGTGTGTAATGACATTGAATTCTCTCTCATAATAATCTGTCTTTGTAAGGATATACAGGCAGTTGTGGATGCTCATCTTGTTATATTTTTTTAAAATGAGACAGGCGGAGGGTGTTTATAATCAGAGGCTTCAAAATTTGGCTGTTACGCTTGACAAGGTAACTTCCTTTTACTGCTAGCGAATTATTTTTATCCTGCAGCTGTATATTAGTTCATATGTTGTCTTGTGTGTGTGTATACATATATGTGCTGTGTTTGAAAATCATACTTTTTTAAGATGGATCATATGTTTTCTTGAGAGTATTGACATTTTTATTATCTAATGTCCTGCACAGGTGAGGTATGTGATGAAATGCGTGTTCGGTGACCCAAAGAAAGCTCCACCTCCATTGGAAAGGCTTAGTCCTGAATCAGTTGTTTCCTTCCTCTGGAAAGGAGAGGGATCACTTGTGGAAGAGCTTCTTCAGTGCATGTCTCCTCACGTGGAAGAACACGTTCTAAATGATTCTTAAATCGAAGATTTCTGCTCATGATCCATCAAATTCTGATGATATCATGAAGGAACTTCA